CTGCTGCTCTGGGGAAAATGGCTCCCTTCTGTTCCTCAAGGGAGACTCAGGCTGGTCGGCTCCGTCCTGGTTCACGAACAGAAGGGCAATACTGAAGGGGAGATGCAGCCCTCACTCCAGCCCAGAGCTTGGGGGTACACCAACCTTCTTGCCCAAAGTCCACCATTATGACTCCCTCTGTGTTATTATTCGAGATTGAATGATTCAGCCTAGCCGCAGGGACAGGGGTGGGCCCCAAGGCAAGACCTGAGCCACTGTAAGGAATCTTGTGAGTCAGTTGGAAGGAGGGCTACCTGAGGCATACCTGCCAGGAAATCCGGGGTGACCCTCATTGTTCTGTTTTCTTTGTGGAAGTAAAGGCATATTTAGGGGTGCATTTTCTTTTTATTCTGCCTATGTGTTAATTCCTGTAAGGTTAACGACAAGAAGGGGATCCAAGAGCCCGGCTGAACAGCCAGGGGCCTCCAGGGGGCGCTATGGCTCAACGCACAGCCTGGTCAAGAGGTCCTCTGTCCACTGCACCACTCTGTTATCTTTGGCGTTGCACCCTCCTTTGGAGAAAAACCCAGAGAGGCAGAGACAGAGAAGTTCCGTTGACTTCTGAAGAAAGTGGGAAGGTCTGGATCGACAGGTAAAGTTCCAGGTTCCCAGACACCAGCATGATGCTCCAGGTGCTGAAACCTTTCACTCAAAGCAAAAGCAGCAAGGCCACCACTAAGCTCTGCTGGTCCTCACAGAGGCTGAGCTTGGCCCAGGCCAGCCTTGCCCCTCTCATGCTCAGGCCCTTCTGTGCTGGTGCCAGGACTTGCCCCAACCTAGGTCACTCTGGAGTGACAGTGAGTATTCACCAGTCTCCACCAAGGGCCTGGGTTTCACTGTTGCTTTTTCTCCAGCACTGGGTACCTGGGCACGAGTGTCCTTGAGGGAGAGGGATGGGTTCAGAGGCCTTGGGGTGGAGGTCAGGCCTGGGGTGGGGTTGGGCCAAGTGGGCTGGTTTCTCTGCCTGCTCAGACCCAGCCTTCTCCTCTGTCACCACGGCCCCTCCAGCTCTCGGCGGCCAGGGCCACAGGTGCCCCCCAAGCCTTTCTTTCATGGAGAAGCTACTTCAATTTAGTGGGGAAATTTTTTCAAAAAGAACTATGATGAAAAAATGCAAAACTAACAGAAACCTAGAGTTCCAAGAAACAGCCTTGTGACATGAATTTGAAGCAGAGGTACTTACTTCTCACCCCAAGGGCTGACCCTGCCCTCGCTCCTTGACCTTTTGCCTGCTGGGTCCAAGAGTTACCCTTGTCACTGAGGGGTCCTGGCCCTTGGTCCAGTGGTCTTCTCCAGGAGCCCTTCCTGGGGCCACGGACTCTGGGAAGCCTTAGACACTTTTCTGGTTGTTTTCTTTCTCATTCAAGTGGTTAGAGGAAGACTCACACAAGTCGGGAGCCCATCCACACTGGCCTTGACTCAGGGCACTTTCCTGGGTTGACTGTCTCCCTTCTGCCTCAGGTTAATTCTAATCATCTATCCTCCAAAGCTACTTTGGGATGAGTCTTCTAGATCCCTGAGGACCTGCAACACCATCAGCAAAAAGAATAGGAACCCCATTTGCCTCTCAGACAAAAAAAAAAAAATTGCAGTGGGAGGGGAATGCCAGAGAATAGGCAGAGCTAGGGGCAGGGGTGTGCTTTGGAAATGGTAGGATCTTCTGTCACCCCAGCAAGGGACTCCCAGTCAGGGGGTGGAGGGAAGGCTGCAAGGAGCCGTTTGGGTCAGGCATCCAAGAGCCTAGAACGTTCCTATGCTGAGTCTGTAAAAATCTCCTAGAGGAGACATGAGACATTTGGAAGTCCCTGAATAGGTGATGGCCTGCTTCTAAACGCTCTGGCAGGAGGGTGGGGGCAGAGGGAGGCAAGAAGACAGATAAGGGAGCTGCAATCAGGACCAAAGCCTGGGCCCTAAGCCTGGTGGACATCAGGGAGAGGTGCCATGGATGGACACAGGGGAGCCAGGCAGAAAAGATGGGTTGGGGGGACAAGTGAGAATGTGATCTGGGTATGTGGAGACAGGCTGCCCCAGCCCAGGGACACAGCCATTGTGATAGGGACCCTATCCTCCCCGAAGAGACCCTCCCGAGAGGGTCACTTCTGTGACCACTTCTGTGGTCACCAGATGCCAGGGCTGGCAGAAATAGGCTCACGGTAGATCATTTCCCCAGAGATGGTGGCTGAGCTTGTAGGCGAATATGAGCTCTTGTAGAACTCACTTCTCTTGCAGAAGAGAAGAATGAGGGGAGACAGGGAGATGACAGAAAGGCACAGTGGCTTGGGGGAGCCAAGAGGCGAGAGGAGAGACCATATGTCCTGTCTCTAGTAGGGGTGTGGGAGGTAATGGGGTCCATTGTTGCAGAGGCTCCAGAGTTCCTGAGGCAAGAGAGGAGCTGGAGGGAGTCAGGTCACAGGGGGCTACCAAGGCTTCCTTGAGAGGGTCTTCCGTGGACTTCCTCCAAAACAGGAGGGGTGCCAGCTGAAGGAGGGGGCAGGTACAGGGGAGGGGTCTGTTGGAAATTTAGTGAACCAGCGGCAGCTTTGAAGGTTGGAGGAGTGGAGCATATATTGAACTTTTTTTTGGAGGTGGTGGTGGAGAATGTCTAGTTCATTGTTCCACAAATGTAATGTCACCTGGGATCTTGTCAAAATGCAGGTTCTGATAAAACAGGTCTGGGCAGGGCCTAAGAGTCTGTTTTTCTAACAAACTCCCAGGTGATGGGGGTATCCCAGCCCCAGCTGACCGTCCAGGGACCATGCTGTGAGGACCAAGGATTTAGAGTATGATAAGGATATGGAGAGTGTGGCAGGGGAACTCACCTTTAGGAGAGACTTACCTTTGACCATCTCACCTGGGGTAAAAACAGACCTTGAAAAGTCTGGACAGGGCACCCTGCTGGTGAGGAGGGGAAATGGAGAGGAGGGAGGGGAAAAAGGAAAGTGGTCAGGAGAGGTGGTGAAGGACTCCCCGAGCTCGGGAGCTTCCCTGGCAGCCTAGCAGGGACCATCATCTGCGGCCCATGTGGGGCAGAACATTTGTTCCAACTTGGAGGCCCCCCCACAGGGAATGAGCGTCAAGTGGAGCAGGAAAGTGAGTGCCAGGAGCGTGTGGGAGTCAGAGCAGAGGCAGGGCAGGCAGGTGGCCCCATACCGCTCTCCAGGTACTTGCTCCACTCATTCTGGGCTTGTTCGCAAGGCCAGAAGGTGGAGGAAGGGAGCAGAAATGACCACCCCTACCCCAAATGCCCCCCACTCCCGTTCAAGGGTGGGGTGGTTCCTAGCCGGAACCGGGAACAAATCAAAGAGGAACCAATCTGAGCCGGGAAGGCGCTGGGGAGAAGGAGGGAGCTGGTCCCGGAGTCCTCAGCATCCCTCCCCGGAGTCAGAAATCTCGAGATTTCTGAAAGGTGTTTTAGGTTTAGGCAACCCAGGGACGGGGCTAGAACGGGAGGGAAGGTTCTGGGGGCGTGGGGGGGGGGAGACGGGGGTGCAGGGGCACCGCTCAGCTCGTCTGAGACAAAGGTTCGAGTTCCCAGGCTGAGAAGAAACCGACGTCCGGTTCGCCGGGGAACGCAGGAAGGTCGGCCGCGCGGAGCAGGAGCAGAAGGAGCAAAAGCTTGGAGGCGTCAAAATGCGCAGCAAGTGCCGGAACCGGGAGGCGGCGTGGAGCGCGGCGGGGACCAGGGAGAGGGAGCTGAGGCCAAGCAGCAGCCAGAGCGTCGTCCCGAGGCGACCCGAAGGCGGCGGAGCTTCCCGGGCGCCGCGTGGCCTTCTCCGGCGCCGGCAGCCGG